CAAGGGCTAGGCGTGTCCCGCGGAAAATCTCACCGTAGTGAGGAGCGAGCCATGGCTCCTCCCGTAGCTCTTCCTCCAGTTGCGCGCATGCGGCGCGCTGCCGCTCCTCGAGGTCTGAATCCGCGCCCCCCACAGCCACCTCGTGTTGCTCAGTGGAGGGCAGAACGGGCCGTGGCGGTGCGCGACAGCGGCGGGAACGCCGTTTCCTCTTAGGGGCGGCCGTGGGCTCAGCCTGGCCTTCCGTGGCGACCGGCTCCTCGCCCTCAGACCACATCCGTGCCAGGCAGGAAGCAGGAGACGAGTAGCCCGATCGCGGCGGCGAGGGTGGGTGGTCGATCTGTGGTGGGACAGCTGACGAGAGCTCCTCCTCGGTGATAAGCCAGGGCTTCCAACGGAGCTCGTCCTCCCGATATGCCCGTAACACCTGCTGCCGCTCCTCTTCACCGAAGTCGCTGGCCTCTGGCATCTCCGTGCGCCACGTAGTGTAGACAGGCGGTGGCGAAGATGTAGAAGCCGATGAGAAGCGAACAGGCGGCGTAACGGTGGTGAGCCCCATGGTCCCAATCCTGACCGTTTCCGGTTCTTTCTGGGACAGCTGCCCCGGGTGGATGCCCACGGCGGACACAAGAAAGTCCCGGATGTGGGGGCGCAGCGCGCCGAATAGCCACGGGAGCCCGGACACCATCCACTGAAGACGAACGGCTACGGTCTCCCGGTATTCACCTCTAGGCAGCGTCGCCCATTCCTCACAGTGGTATTCCACCGTGTAGACCAAGTCTTCCTGGAGGTCCGCGGAGGGGTTGTGAGCTGCTGGGTCCAGTTCGTGGTCGCGTTCTTCTGTCATGGTCGCTGTGTGGCAGGCAGGATGAGGACCCAAAATGCAAACTCACGGACTCAGGGGATAAACTCAAAATGCAGCTTTATTGCTGACAGGTGACAAACGAAAGCAGTGATACCAAAGCAATACAAAACTAAACTACACTGGGAAAAGCTAATTGTAACATATACCAGAAGACACGGGGAGAACCACACACAGCATGAGGGAGAACGCGACGCCGAACAGAGGGAGACGCAGACAGAAATACACAGAGGGTTAACGAGGAAAGTGGGAACACACGGGGAACACAGCTGACACAGATAACCATAACGAGACAGGGCGGGGTGAACATAACACTGACGGGAGACGGGCAGAGTCAAACAGGAAGTACAGAGGTTCAGACAGGAGGAGAGAGAGCACGGGGAAAACACAGACATAACGGGCTGGGGAAACATGGAATAAAACATAAGGAGAGACGAGGGCTCACAGATACACAGAGGGGCACACAGGGGGTAAAAGCCACGAAGGGAAAACACTTAGGGAACAACACAACAGGGCAACTCAGGAAACATGGCCTAAATAGGGAACAAAATACAAACATACAAGAAAACTAAGAATACTGGGCCAACATGGCCCAGGACCATGACATTATCAGTGGATGTCAGACATTCTTTGGGAAGTGGTAGAAACTCAGAGCAAGTTTTGTTTTTCTGCCCTAACACAATCACATTCCTCTGAGCTACTTAAAACACTAAGGCAGCTGGAGAGCCAGTTTCCCTTTTAAGATTATGTTGTGGCCTGTAGATTATTTTGCTGGCCTTTTCACAGAGTTCCCATCAACAGGATTGCCCCATCTATGGTTTCTGCATCTTTTTTCTACAGTCTCCCTACTGGCTTTTTTAAAGTCCAGCTCTTTTATCATAGTTAAAACAACCAACAGTTATCAAATAACTTGGTGTAACTTCCAGGCAACAGGAAGATGGAAATATGAGAAGGACTAGAGGGAGAGGAGACACAAAGAGGAAAAAATAGTGAATGCTTCTCTTCTTTCTCTGGGGACCAGCCTCTTTTAGCTCACATCTACAACGGCAGGAAACCATGCAGCATTGTGTGAGATGAGGCAACACACCAAATTGTGTGTGTGTGTGTGTGTGTGTGTGTGTGTGTGCGTGTGTGTGTGTGTGTGTGTGTGTAAAATACAATCAGTTAAGCGATGGGATATAAGGGGGAATAAATGGATAGACACAGCTGCCGTTATTCCTCCAAATACCAAGCAGTGGAACAACAGCCTGACACATTTACTGTGACACCTTTAGATTTATATGACAACCTGTGCAGGATGTTCACTGAGTACATGTGTGGGTGTATGATACACAGGAAGATCACATAATGGTCATGGTGAGAACTGTAGAAGAAAATATAAACAAGAGGCAGTTTTCGGGGAACTAGGTTTCCCTAGCATTTCCCATTTAAAGTAAATGTTGCTTTTCGAGGTTAATTTTAATCGACATTTTTGTGTTATTCCTTTGAAACTGTTTCCTAGTTTATCTCATTATATTCTGAATCATATAAAAATTTCTGAGACATACAGTGGGGCAAAAAAGTATTTAGTCAGCCACCGATTGTGCAAGTTCCCCCACCTAAAATGATGACAGAGGTCAGTAATTTGCACCAGAGGTACACTTCAACTGTGAGAGACAGAATGTGAAAAAAAAAAAATCCATGAATCCACATGGTAGGATTTGTAAAGAATTTATTCGTAAATCAGGGTGGAAAATAAGTATTTGGTCAATAACAAAAATACAACTCAATACTTTGTAACATAACCTTTGTTGGCAATAACAGAGGTCAAACGTTTACTATAGGTCTTTACCAGGTTTGCACACACAGTAGCTGGTATTTTGGCCCATTCCTCCATGCAGATCTTCTCGAGAGCAGTGATGTTTTGGGGCTGTCGCCGAGCAACACGGACTTTCAACTCCCGCCACAGATTTTCTATGGGGTTGAGGTCTGGAGACTGGCTAGGCCACTCCAGGACTTTCAAATGCTTCTTACGGAGCCACTCCTTTGTTGCCCGGGCGGTGTGTTTTGGATCATTGTCATGTTGGAAGACCCAGCCTCGTTTCATCTTCAAAGTTCTCACTGATGGAAGGAGGTTTTGGCTCAAAATCTCACGATACATGGCCCCATTCATTCTGTCCTTAACACGGATCAGTCGTCCTGTCCCCTTGGCAGAAAAACAGCCCCATAGCATGATGTTTCCACCCCCATGCTTCACAGTAGGTATGGTGTTCTTGGGATGCAACTCAGTATTCTTCTTCCTCCAAACACGACGAGTTGAGTTTATACCAAAAAGTTCTACTTTGGTTTCATCTGACCACATGACATTCTCCCAATCCTCTGCTGTATCATCCATGTGCTCTCTGGCAAACTTCAGACGGGCCTGGACATGCACTGGCTTCAGCAGCGGGACACGTCTGGCACTGCGGGATTTGATTCCCTGCCGTTGTAGTGTGTTACTGATGGTGACCTTTGTTACTTTGGTCCCAGCTCTCTGCAGGTCATTCACCAGGTCCCCCCGTGTGGTTCTGGGATCTTTGCTCACCGTTCTCATGATCATTTTGACCCCACGGGATGAGATCTTGCGTGGAGCCCCAGATCGAGGGAGATTATCAGTGGTCTTGTATGTCTTCCATTTTCTGATGATTGCTCCCACAGTTGATTTTTTCACACCAAGCTGCTTGCCTATTGTAGATTCACTCTTCCCAGTCTGGTGCAGGTCTACAATACTTTTCCTGGTGTCCTTCGAAAGCTCTTTGGTCTTGGCCATGGCGGAGTTTGGAGTCTGACTGTTTGAGGCTGTGGACAGGTGTCTTTTATACAGATGATGAGTTCAAACAGGTGCCATTCATACAGGTAACGAGTGGGGGACAGAAAAGCGTCTTACAGAAGACGTTACAGGTCTGTGAGAGCCAGAGATTTTCCTTGTTTGAGGTGACCAAATACCTATTTTCCACCCTAATTTACGAATAAATTCTTTACAAATCCTACCATGTGGATTCATGGATTTTTTTTTCACATTCTGTCTCTCACAGTTGAAGTGTACCTCTGGTGCAAATTACTGACCTCTGTCATCATTTTAAGTGGGGGAACTTGCACAATCGGTGGCTGACTAAATACTTTTTTGCCCCACTGTAAGTCATCATCAGTGATGACCCCAGCGCTGGCTCCAAACCTTGTTGTTAAATCCCTGTTGCTATGTTTTGGTAAAAGGCCAAGGAGTTATTTATTTTAAAAAAAAAAAATCTAAGAAAACAAAACAGTTTTCAGTGCAAATCAGAATGATAATTTAATTTGTCCCTGATTGTCAATACTCCACTGGCAGAGGTGGCCATGAGTTATTTATGGTGAGAATGTGATCAGACACAACTATCAGGTGTACATTGAATGTTTGAGCTAAATGCTTCCACATAGTCGTGTACTTGCATTCTGGGATGAGTAGCATAGAAGCACAGAGTACTGAAGATGTGCAATGGATACAAACTGTTATCCATTACAAACTGTTGCAATGTTGAATGTTCTTATTGGGATGGCTTGACAAATTTGATTTGCTTGGGGTTTTCTCTGTTTCTAAAGAAACCAAACCACGGGAAAAGCTAGGACTATACAAACTTATCAACCAATTTGGACTAGAATAAACCAACTGTAGGTGCCCTAAGATCTCCCAGAGTTAACCAAAGCCAATAGAGGTTCATAATTTAACTGTTTCCATTCTGGAAGCCTTACATCAGATTAAACACAAACAATTTAACTGGAACTATTTATTATTATAATAGAACCTGCCACCAATGAAGACGTATGACAATTTGAATAGATGTGACACTCTTGAGTCTATTTCCATTCTCTGAAACATAAATGTGATTGGGCATTCTGCCTTTTGTAGGAAATATTGTTTTAAATAAAAAAAAGATTTATTGTTTTTGAAAATTCAAAAAGAATAAAACAGATATGACCGTAGTGAGGACAGTTGAATCAAAGGGGAAGAGAAGAAGCAAGCGCAGCTGTTGATCAGTGAGACAGAAAAGGAAGAGAAGAGAGCAAGAGAGGAAGCTGAACATGGGGAAGCAGAAACACACACACACACACATTCGGGAAGAGAGGGAGAGAGAGAGGGAGAGAGAAAAAACAGCAGCGAGCGAGAGAGAGAGAGAGAAAAAAAGGCTTAATTAATTCAGGCTGGATGGGAGGGATGTTGCTTCTGTGCCTGCTGAGGCTCCAGTCAGTGCCTCTGCTGTCGTGCTGCATGTAGCCGAGTGTTTGTGTGAGCAGAGAAGACGACTCGGCGGCTGCTGCCTGCCTCTCTTTGCCTGCCTCATTGGGAACCAGACACCAGTCCAGTCTAGCCACGACTCCACATCCTTGAGCCTGCTGACTGACTGGCAGTCTTTTGGACTGGACTAGCTTGGTCTCTACTAAACGACTAAACAAGGATGTTACTTGGACTGTAGTGAGAGCAGCAATGGCCAGAGGTAGGACAGACTTTCTTGTGACTACTCCTCATGCTCCCGCTTCTCTCATGTCTGTCTGCTGCTGTTGCTTCCATTTTTCTGTTTCTGTGAGCACTCTCTTCTCTCTCGTTTCTATTTAACCTTTAACTACACTTAAATATTTATATCTCCCGTTTTGTTTCTTGAAAAATTTCTGTCTCTCTGGCTAATGATATTTTCCAACTTTTCTGGGGGGTTTTGTTTTGTTTTGGGTTTTTATTGTAAACAAAACTCTCATTTAGGTTTTGTGATAAAAGACTATCATTTTGCAGTTCAGGAGGTTTGTGACGTGTGTTTGGGTGGAGATGGATTAAAAACCAAAATGCCTCAGACTCATTGTTCCTTAAGAAACAGCTGGCTACAAAACAGTTCAGCAAAATATAGGATCAATAGTGTAGTCTGACCGGGCGGTATTAGGCAACAGAGTCAGACATCATGTTCCAGGTCAGGTTACTGTTCATTTTAAAAATGTCTTTACAGTAAAATATGCAGCAAGCCTAATACAGTGACCTTTGTGAAGGAGTTGCAAGGCAAGAGAAAAATCAAGTAAAAGCATTTCCCCAAACATCAGCTGTTTTGAACCAGGGTGTAAGTTTGAACTAAATGTGTGTGGTCTGTCTTCAGTTCTAATTCTGAGGCTATTATATTTGTATTTTTCATTAAAAAAACACCCATTTATGGGTAAATGTTGCACATCTTCAAGTCACTCCCTTGTAATCCCAGGATGCCTCCTTGAGAGCGATGCTTTAGAACGAAGCGACCGACTCCTCGTGATTAATCTCAAATCGGCACGCCTAATTACATCTCATCAAGCAATCACCGAATGTGATGGTTATTTATTCCTTGACAGCATCCACTTGGATGCTGATAAACATTAAGGACTCTCTGCCCCAGCCTCGTCTACATGAACACGACGAGCGAGCTGAAAGGGCAGAGCCGAGCCAATTGGGAGGAGAGGATCAACAGAGAAAATGAGAGGAGCAGAAACACATGAGAAGAGGCTGAGTCCCTAGCAGGGAGTGTGAGGATAGAGGGTGAAGAGAAGAGGATCATTTAGCAGAGCCCTGAAATGCTGCTCAAGCAGCAGGAAAGCATAGAAGCACAAGTGCATGTGTACACCACAGTACATGGCCATGTTGCGGTGTAAGTCATGTTGAAAGAGGATGGCTGCTGGGTCAGTCAAGGTCTGAGAAAACAGTAGTGAAACCTACTGATGAGGAGCTGTCTGTCATCAGAGAGTAATTCACTATTAAGAGGTGAATAAGTGCCTATTTCTTTCATTTACACAGTGACCTGAAGAGGTGATCCCACACATTTTGAAACATCTGTTTCTTGATCGAAATACATATTTGTTCAGTCACATGAAAGCAACATTTAAGAAAAATTAGTGTAAATTCTTCTAATTATTTTACACAAGTCTTCACTACTTGAAGTTTTAGACCCAAACAGTGAGAGTAAAATGAGTCATCACTGGCGCTAAATGAATTAGTGGCTCAGCATCGCATTCTGTGTTGTTTGCTCAGTCATGATACACAGTTTTAAAAGCTTATAGACTCAAAGATGATGTTCTGTACATAGGTGACTGCTGAGGCCTTTAACTTATCATTTTAAGACAGAACTGAGTGAGCTGTGAGTCTGACTGAGCAAACAATGACACTGCAAGGTCATAGACTAGCAACTTTCAGTTGCAGAGAAGCCACATGGTAAAAAACAAAACAAAACCTTTTTTTCAATAATCTTCCCCATTGACTTATTTTTAAAAAAATATTCTTATATGTACAATATGTGCAATCAAGTCATAATGGCAGAACACAAGACTTACATTCTGATGTGACCTTTTAAGCTTGTTGCGAAAACTTGCAACAGTATCATTAATTTATAGCCAGTAAAATGTAACAACTGTCAGCACCTGTCATTCCCATACAATTAACCAATAATCAGGTTTCTTCAACAATTATTTTAAACGATGGTCATGTCACATTGCTGAACAGGAAAAATGGGTAGAATATTTCTACTCTTAAATGGCAATGAAAGGCAACAAAAGCCCACAGAACGAGCCTGTACAAATTGCATGCAATCCACCAGCCAACTTCAGCTCAAGACTTATTTCGGACTTTCATTTTAATCATCTGTTTTGTTTTTACTGGTTTCATTAAGGTTTGGAGAACAAAATGACTTCTTTTTTGTTGGAAAAAAGATTCCACTTTGGGTTGTAATAGACACTGTCAGGTAAACATCTGATTAGAAGTGTATCCACCATCTTTTTGCTCTGATTTTGATCTCCACCACTTCCTACGGGAAATATTTGTCCCTTCAGCTGCAAAATTCTCCACTACATATTTCCACTACTGATGAGTTTCACTCTGGGCCTGTAGCTGTTTGCTGCCACGCAAGTAGTAGTAGTATTGATTATAGCTACTTTAGCAAAAAATAACTAAATTACACATTTTTAAATGAGGCCATGTTGTAACATGACTAATGCAACTTTGAGTTTGTTTTTGATGTTCGTCACACCCTCTGCTCTCAAGCTGTTAAAAGCAGTTTTGTGATTATTGAAAGAGGACAGCTGTTTGTATTTTTATTTCTCTTTTAGTGAAGTAAAAATAATTTTATAACAGTGCTAGTTCTATCAGACGAGTGTCAGCAAAACATGTAGCTAACATGATCAACCCGAAATGTTTTAGGGTGACAAATAATAACCTGTAGTACAGCCTCTATTAAGACTAAAAAGATATCCTAATAAAGGGCTTTCAGCAGTATCCAGGCAGACCTAGATTCTCCACAGAGCTAAAGCAGAGGTAACAGGCCTCCAGAAGCATTTCATCCTACTGAAGTCGCATTTATGAAGTCAGGCTTTATTAAATGGAGACTATATAATATATTTGCTGCATATGTGTGAAATCTTGCACAGTATTAATTAGACCCTTTTTCATGCAGTAGGTTTTTAACAGTGTATTGCTGACCAAAACTACAAGAGACTACAACCATTTCACTAAAACATCCTTGTATGGTTTTCTAGTGAAGAGGTTGGGTTGAGAAATGATGCAATACAAAGCATGAGGGGCCAAAACAAGGATTGGTCTAACGCTCCAGTGATCCAGAGGTAAATGTGTCCTGAGTATCCACAAGGCTGCATACCACTGTCTCTTCGCCAGTCATCTATATCACACATTTGTACAGTTAAAAGTAACTCAGGAGTGGATGTGCAAAACCTACAGTGTTTTGATATTGTAGTAAATCTACACCGACCATCCACCACATTACTGGAGAACTGCCTAGTAGTAGGATTAGAATTAGGACGTATTTAAGCCACAAATATGCTGCGTTTCAGAACCTATAAGATGTTTCTTTTGAAATCAAGTCTTTATAGATCTGTATTATGGCCTGTGAAGTTATTACAGTTTGGGTATGCCATGTGTGGTCTGCAGACCTGCAGCTCCAGTGTTCCCTGTGGCTCTTTGTGCCTGTCTCCAGTAATTCCCTGCGGCTTTGGCAAAAATATAGATGAATATGAACACATGAATATAAACGTGGAAATCATATGACATATATATTATGACATATTCCAATTATACATGTATAGTAATGCATGATCTTAAGTTCAAAACAAAACAAAACAAAACTTTTAATGTTCAGAGTGCCCCATATAGTTTAAGAGCAACACCAGTTAAAATAGGACTGTACATTTTAATAGATTTGACTCCACACTTGCCCAAATTGTGTTAATTAAACAATTTTTATGACTTTTATTCTACAATTTCATAAATGTAACAACAACATATTATTATTGAAATAACAACGTAAAGTTAAAGTACAAAAAAAACTATAAATAGCCCCTTGCAGATGAGTCATAAGTGGTATAAGATTTTAATCATTTAGACTTTTTAATAGCGTTGATAGTCAAATTTATATTTAAGTTTAGAAAACAGACAGTCCCTCTACTCTGATTCTTTCTGTGAAAGAAGCAAATTAACTCGCTGAATCCTTTTGAATATCTCTATTTTAAGCAGAGCTGGAATTAGCTATATGCTGTAAACCCTCCTAATTTGTGGTGTATATCTTATCAGAAGGGAAGCAAAAGATGTATAACTAAATGCTTGACTTTAGTAGCCTAAATTTGCTAGTGAAATCGAATTATTTGCTGCTGTAAACAGATGTGCTCCTTGAACATAATCAGAACCATAAATCAGCAGGAAGTAAAAGAAATAAAATTATCAATTTCAGCAGCACTTACAGAAGTAATATACAATTTTATTTATTTATTAGCTTCCACCATGTGATTGCTACTCTTCCTGGTGCCCATGAGGGGGGGAAAAAATCTTCAAACTTACAAAAACCAAATTAGAAAATACAAACTTTATAACCAAAAAGTATATTGCATATTAAAAAATAAGCATTAAAGAACTGTTTTGTTCATACTGGATTTACTAGATCTAACATCAGTTGACTTCACTGACAGGTTTCATAATTATGATTAGTTCCAGTATAGGCTAATTATATACAAAGGTGTTGTGGTGCATGGCACTTTCTAGCAACAGCTATCAGCTATCAGCAGCCATTGTTGAAATTACATAGTTCACCTGTTTAGACCAACAAAAAAGAGTTATTTAATTTTACATTTTTTAATTTAATCTTCTTAACCTGTTCAATGGATATCCTATCAACATCACAATTCAACAAATGAGACTTAGAAAGAGGTTTCCTAGAACCAAACACAACAGATTTAGTTTTGACAATATTTACTGCTAATTTGATAATTTTCACTGATTGATTTACAGCCTGTAAGCTCTGCCTGCAGGCGCTAATGAAGAAGTTGTAAATAATGTATGTATAGCAAATGTACATATTACTTTGTCAGAATTTTAACAAACTAAATCATAAAAATTAAAAATAAAAGAGGGCCCAGATGGCTGCCTTGTGGAACACAAGAGTAAAGTCCTGTTTGTTTTTTTTTACCTCAATTATTTTCTCTTCATTAAAGT